CAATTTTGGACAAAAACATACGGTTTGAACAGCTGTTGAAATAAACGAAATATACGCTTTTACGTATCAAGGATAATTATAGTTTCTGCCCATTTTTAGGACTTTCATAAGTGCGAGACATGTCACATTTTTACAATTAAGCAAATAATAACGAAATGGCATGCAGCATAAATTCCGTCGTCAAAACGTCGCTTTTCCACACCTATAAATTCAGTCATTCATCGTGGCAAGGTGCTGTAACACACACACAAGCACGAGTCCATGTACATGTGCTCGTTTTCAGCGCGCCGAGAGCATATGTATGAGCTTGTGCTTGTGTATGTGACTACCGATTTTGCCATATTTCGCCAGGCCGCCGACTAATTTTGAATCACATGCTGATCACTCAAGACCCCTATTTTGTAACTGTTTTACACATCTGCCGACAGTTGCCGGTGTCATTGCGCAGTTTTTTCACCATAAAATATCGCGCAACGATACCGATAATTGTCAGTAGGCGTGTAAACACAGTTATAGAATAGCGGCCCAGGACCCTTAAATGCTCGTAAAATACACGATAAAGTTATATTCTACTGCTTAGAATTTGTTAGAATATATTTTCCTTTTTTATAAAAGCATATAAACTTATTCCTACATTTCAATAATATCGTGTGTAGCGAAAGATGGTAGAAAAAATAATAGAATAGAAAAAAAATTTTTAATTTTTATTTCGAAGATCGTGAAGTTTCATGGATATTACACAGAATTAATTCTGTTTTGTTTTTAAAAAAATTCATCTAATTAATATATAATGTACAAAGAATTATTTTGTTAGAAATTTTCTTGTAATCGTGTTAGCTGCACTATATGCATATATTATGGCAGAACATTTGCGGCAAAAATTTTGTAAAGACAATTCTCAAAAGGAGTATCCTCCGTAAAAATAAAAAACAATTCAATTCAATGTAATATCGACGACATACTAGAAAAATATCGGCATAGTATATTCGTTTCAGCATATAACATGTTATATGTCTCAAATCTGTATTATATATAATATATATATATAGGGCACATTCTCTGTCAAATTGAACACTCCTTCTGTCCAAAATTCAATTCAACTAAAAATTGTTCTGGATTTAAATTATAGGTGCACATGTCTATTTTCTTTAACACTCTGGCTTTTTGAGAAATTCAATATGATGAGCCTAACATGACGGCTGCAATTTACGAAGTACTGATTGAGAACGCTTGAATCATTACTCAGGTGAGTCAAAATATGTTCAATTTTTATGAATCTAATTATCTAATTGTTCTCCGGGTCTCAAAAATAAAAAATCTGCAGTCAAATTTTCAAAATAGAAAATGATTTTTATGAAAATCGATAACCAGAGGTTAAAAGGAGAGACCTTTGAATCATGAATCCGCATTCGGATTTGCAGAATTCAAAATGGCGGATCTATCAATGAAAATAATACTATTAAAGATTGACAGTCTCACTCTTTACAGGAGTTCGCGTCCTTGTTAATATTAAAATAATTAAAAATTTGATGATGATATTGAATGATAATATTGTATTAATTTTATGATTTATTAGTTTAATAGACGTGTTTATGCATTTAAAACTCAATAATATTCGATTTTTCTTTAAAATTGTGATTTCAGTGTTATCGTCAAAGTTTGATTATCAACAGAGATGATAACTGCAGAGAATAAAATTGTAATTTTTCGGCAATATATAGGATATTATAACTTTACAAGTATATATATTTATTTTTGGAAAAATAAAAAATTATGAATTTAATAATATATTAGTCAAATATTTATAATATGTTAATAATAGCAAATTTATATCAATTGTCAGTGTTTTTCAATTGAAACACACCCTTTTTATACCTCCGGCTCTTTGGGGCCCTTTTTATACCACCGAAAATTTGCCCAGGGTTGATGATCTTTAATAGCATCTCATCAGTGGCAGATCCAATGGCCCTGGTGGAAAAAAAATTTTACGAAAAAGTACAGAAAAGCTACATAGATTGAAACAAGATCTTAGAAATTCTTAGTTTTTCGTAGATATTCGTAATGGGACGTAGAGTAGTGTTGTTTGAGGGCAGAGGATTTCTAGATTTTTCAAGAAACAACGCCGCTCTACGTCCCATTATAAATATATATGAAAAACTAATTTCTAAGATCTTATCTTAATCTATGTAATTTTTCGTAGAAGTTTTTCTACCAGAGAGCCATCCAAAATACTGACACAAATAGCACAGTAAATTCGCAAAGTATTCTTCAAGTTTTTTCCTTTCTTGAATTATATATAATTCCTTAGGAATTCATACAAAAACACAATAAAAACACTTCAAGAAGTTTTATATATGTTTCGAATTTTTGAGAACTTCTTAAAACATTCATATAATGTTCCCTCTATATCAACAGATATACCTTATGAATTCAAGAAGTGCTTAGAATAGGCATATAGGATTATAAAATATCCAGTAAGGCTCAGTTTCACAACTCACGGTTAACTCTTAACCAAAATTCAACTTATTTTTCATCTCTTCTAATTCTAGAATTGGAAAGAGATAATGAATAAGTTAAACCTCGATTAAGAGTTAACCGTGAGTTGTGAAATTAAGCCTAAATCTCAAAATTTGTTCGCTTTACATACTCCATACACTTACCTTATCATATTATTGGCTCTCGCAGCCGAGCTGACTGACGAGCGTCATAAATTATGTTCCAAAATGTAACAAGTCTAAAAATAAGAAAATAAAAAAGTTTGGCAACACTGATTTGACAAAACTTGACAAAAATTAAGAATGATGCAATACTCAAGCCGAGTCGAAATACGTCCATCCCGGTACACGCTCGGTAGAGAACTTCGAATCGTGTCTCGCCACATTTATGATCTATTAATCGCGCATGCTTGTACTTGCAATTCTTCATGAATTCTCAGAGCGGAATTTATAGACGTTGCTCAAGATTCGATATGGTCTTAAGCTAGTGCATGAATCAATCAGAGAGCCATATTAGCATCTTAAGACATTGGCTGTATTCATTCAACTGTTAAGTCCGTTGAACGCAATCATTGCTTGAATTAAGAACAGACTATGGATTCCGGCCTCTGAAGTATTCTAGAGGGTCCAAGCTGGCCTAGTTTCCACTGAGAGTTTAATCCGGATCAGAATGTAAGAACCAACTACAGTTAAGCATTCCCCTGTCGTTCGACTGTAACAGGGGAATACTCGACTGTAGTTGGTTGGTTCTTACATTCTGATCCGAATTAAACCCTCGGTGGAAACTAAGTCATTGTTATAGCACAGTTTATGACGCCATCTACCAAAGAAAGGGGCAACTTTTTCGTCAAGTT